CTGGCCTGGGTGCCTTCCTGCACCCTCTCCCTATGAGCTCCTTCTGGCCTGGGTGCCTTCCTGCACCCTCTCCCTATGAGCTCCTCATCTGTCTTCTTCTGAGAAATGCCTACTTAGGTCTGTTACCTACATTTTAATACAGCTGGTTCTTGCTGTTGTTTTGTTTAAGGTTCCTAATATTCTGGGTATTACCCTTTGTCAGGAGTACAGTTTGAAAGCATTTTCTGTTGTTCTTCACCCTGCTGGTTTACCTCTTTCGCTGACCAGGAGCTCTTTTTAGAATTCCATTGGTCTGTTCTTTCTTCTGTCTGCTGTGCTTTGGGGGATTTTGTCCAAAAATCCTTGTCCATTCCAGTGTCACAGAGCATTTCCCCTAAGTGGTTGTGTGGTTTCACGTCTCACCTTTTGCATCTTTAATCCATTTAGAATTGAATTTTGCTGCTGGCGAGAGGCGGGGTCTGACTTAATTCCCCTGGGTGCGGAGGACTGACTTTCCTAGCACCACTGGTTGAAAGCACCATGCTGTGCAGCGCGTGCCCCTGCTCCTCCAGAGCCCGTCTGGCCTAGCTGCGCAGCTTGCTTCAGGCCTTCTGTTCTGTTCCTTCGGTCCAGGCGCCCATTTCCAGCCCGCATATTTTGAAGTCAGTGCAGTGCTTCCTGCTCTATTCCTCTTGGTCAAGGTGGCTTGGGCTATCTGAGGTAGAAAGGTTTTCAACATCTCTGTTGTACAGGGAGAACTTCGGGGCACAGGCCAGGCAACCCGTGAGTTGTGGAGTTGAGAGTAAGCCTCAACAGCCGGGCTGTGGCCACAACCCCTGGCCGGTACTGTGCTGTCTTTTGGGTAACTGGGCACTACTCTCAGGTCAGCAAGGGCTTGGTCAGGATTCAGATGGTTCCCTTGGCCGAGGTGTGTGAGAAATTAATTCTTCAGCCTTCGCAATCCTTCCTGCCCGCTGGAAGAACAGTTGCTGCCTGCCTTATAGCAGGTGGGGAGGGCAGAGCAGGCAGTGCGTGCTCTAGTCTCCCCTCCTCCCGCCCTCTAGGCAGCACCTTCACCGCCCACCCCAGCAAGGAACCTGTCCTGGGCTGCCCTGCCCGCTTTGGGCTGTTCCGAAAGGCCCCTCCCTTCCATTCTGTGCTCGGTATCCAAGTCATCCTCCCTGGTCCCTCACCAGCTGCTGTGTCACAGGCCATAACTGGGCTCCTGGCTCCATCCCTGTCCCCAGCCCATGCTAAGCTCCCTCCCCCAGTCATCTTTCCACTCAGCTTTCAGGTAGGATGGCACTAACCTTGTCAGCCCCTCTGTGGAAATGGCCCGAGTTGGCTCTCTGCCTGGACAACCCAGCCCTGTCCCCGTGGAGCTGGGAGCTGGGTCACCCCAGACCTCCATGCACTGCGTTTTCTTGTGCGGCCCCTCCTCCTAGCTGGGGTGCCTTTCTGCGCCCTCTCCCTATGAGCTCCTCCTAGCAGGGCTCAGGCTTGGCCCAGCAGCTTGGGCCCCAGCTCTCAGGGCTGCTCGGCCACGGCATCTGCACTCTGAGTGGGACCGTCCACTGCTGCAAAGGCCCGGCCACTGGACAGACCACAAGGTGCCAGCGGACACCACTCAGGTCCCATGCAGCCTCCTCTTCCAGAGCCTCGCCTGGGGTACCGTCTCTGTCTCTAACTGTGTAGAAGGCTTTATCAGATGCATCTCTGCTCAGGGCTGCTTGATGAGCTGTAGTATTCCTGTTCCATTCCTGGGCAAGGAGAAAGCCCTCAAATTGATCAGCTGAGGCAGGTGGTGGATCTGAATTTAGGGTGTCTCATCAAAACTGGGGTACAGAGTATCTCCCTTCTGCAGGCTCTGGGAGCTGGGGTTCTCTTGCACCTGCGTGCTAGGGCTGGTCTAGGTAGACAGAGGTGCGATGCGTCAGCTGAATGGCTGCGCGTGCACGCGTAAGGCGGGAAGAACCAGGATTCTCTTGAGAATGAAGCGGAAGGTTAGGAACCCGAGGGCGTCTGAGAGTCTGAAGTAGCTTCCTAGCACCGCGGATGAAGCTTGTAGTTGAAAGGCACACTTAGAAAAGTTAGAACGTTCATACTGATAATCACACTGATAATTTAAAAGGCAGAGCTTAAGGAGGGTTCTTTTAAGGAGGCAGCGGCACGGTGCTCCCAGCCTTATAGAGCCAAGTCCTCGCACTTAAGAGCTCCGTGCACGCCCTCACCACGCTGCGAAGATGGTGGTCTGCCTGCTGCAGCGAGGCCCGGGCCGCTTCCTGGACCTCGCCAGCTCTGTGCATGGTCCTGGGAGAGTGCCCTGTCTGGGTCTAATTTAGAAACAGAGGCCAGGGTGGCCAAGGGGGTGAAAAGGAAGAGGACAGAGCCTTTGTCAAGAGCCAGCCATGGTGTCTCTCCTGTGGGGCGCAGCACGAGCCTGCCACAGCCACACAAGGGGAGCTGGGAGCAAAGGGCAAAGCCTGGGTGTTGGTGTAGTCAGCTATTTATTTCAAGGTTAACATGTTTAAAATATATCTGAGCCAGAGCAGCAGCACCAGATCCAAGATGGCGGCCAGCAGGAGGCTGATGAAGGAGCTTGAAGAGATCCGCAAATGTGGAATGAAAACCTTCCGTAACATCCAGGTTGATGAAGCTAATTTATTGACTTGGCAAGGGCTTATTGTTCCTGACAACCCTCCATATGATAAGGGGGCCTTTAGAATTGAAATCAACTTCCCAGCAGAGCATCCATTCAAACCACCGAAGATCACATTTAAAACAAAGATCTATCACCCAAACATTGATGAAAAAGGGCAAGTCTGCCTGCCGGTAATTAGTGCTGAGAACTGGAAGCCAGCGACCAAGACCGACCAAGTAATCCAGTCTCTCATAGCACTGGAATGACCCCCAGCCTGAGCACCCGCTCCGGGCTGACCTAGCTGAAGAATACTCTAAGGGCCATAAAAAATTCTGTAAGAATGCTGAAGAGTTTACAAAGAAATATGGGGAAAAGCGACCTGTGGACTAAAATCTGCCACAAATGATTCCAGCAAGTGTGAGCAGAGACCCCGCGCAGGGCATTCAGACATCCCGCAAAGCAGGACTCTGTGGAAATTGACACATGTCACCACCTGGCGTTCACTTGTGGCAGTTACTAACTTTCTACAGTTTTCTTAATCAAAAGTGATCTAGTAACCTGTAAAGAAAGGATTAAAAATTTCAGATATTCTAAAAATAAATAAATAAATAAATAAAATATATCTGAGCCAGGCACAGTGATGCCTTTCTGTAACCCCAGCACTCTGGAAGGCTTCAGAGGAAAACCACAAACTTGAAGCCAGTCTGGACACTTTAGTGCTTTGATAGTCTGTCCCAAAACAAAAAATAAAAAAGGCTGAGAATGTAGCTTGGTTTGAGGGTCTTGGGTTCAAATCCTGATATCACACAAAATCTTTTTTCCCAAAAAACCACTTTTACAAATTCATTCGCAAATACATATTTCAGTTCTCTAATCGTGTTGAAAAGTAGACTTGGACAAAATTGCCTTATCAATGTCTTTGCAAAAACAGTTTATTAAGTTTGTAAAAGTAGCTTACTAAATCTTGTAGAGCTTGCAGAGTGTACAAGGGGGCCCGGGTCAGAGCCCACCCCCTGTTGACCATCTTGCTTGATTTGCAGCAATACCGTGAAGAGCTGGATGCCAAGTTCAACACCGATAAGTTTAAATGGGACAAAATGTGCCACAGAGAAGCTGCGGTGATGTTGAAGGCATTCTTCCGAGAACTGCCCGCCTCTCTCTTTCCCGTGGAGTACATACCTGCCTTCGTCGCTCTGATGGAAGGTAGGTGACGGCGCCACGTGTGCAGGGCTCAGACTTAGATGAGGTCAGGACGGTGCAGCAGGAAGGCTCAGAAGGAAATGGGTGCCGGTGGGTGTCCAGACGGCGGTGCCCTGGCTCGGCGTGGGTGAACGCTGAGGGTGACACTAAGCGCTCACCCACAGACAGCCACGCGCTGAGGCCTGGTGGACAGGACGTAGGGCTCTGTCGTCACTCAGGTACAGAGATGTGGAGATTGGGTCAGCAGTGCCTCTGAGGTGTTGGCCTTCAGCTGCTGCCCCTGTGTCTTCACTACTTTTCTCATTGCTGGGACAAAATGCCCGACACTCAAAATTAAGGAAGGAAAGATTTGTTTAGCTCACAGTTAGTGGAGCTTTCAGTCCATACTGGGCTGACTCCAAGGCAGAGCGGCTCACAGCTGAGGGCAGCGGTTCATGGCAGCAGAAAACAGCGAAGAGCAAAGGGAAGAGCAGCCGCTGCAGCAGCCGGCGAGCCTCCCTGCCTTCCCCACGCTGTACACAGATTCCCCACCGCAGGGCCGGTGTAGCACTCACCCCCATAACGCCCACACTGGATCATGAGTTGATCAGAGACTCTAGAAACTGCCACCTGAATGCATGATGCTTTCGGGGCACCTGGACAAAAGCCAGAACACCCCGTTGTGACAGATAGCAGGGACCTGTCAGGTCTGTTGTGGGTGCTGAGGAGAGCCGCCTACAATAGTGCCTCAGTGTCCCAGTCCACCGAAGATGTACGATGCCCCTCCCCCTAGGTCCAAGGCCCAGGACGCCACCTGCCGCTCACGCTGAGAATCACATCATCCTGCTGTGTTTCTCAGAAGTCACTAGATCTTCCAATTGGATCTTCGGTGATGGCAGGGCTTTGGTGACCAACCTGGGAGACCAGAGCTCCCACGCTCGGCATGGACAGGCCTGCTAAGCCTGTCCACGTGGACAGAAAAGGGCTGTGGCCACCCTGACAGGGTGACCCTGGCCATGCACAGCCCCGGGGGAGCCCAATGCAGGCTTACGTGCAAGATTCTTAATTTGAAATTGTCAGCCTCAGTTTCACATTTCTGAACACTGTGAGCTTAGCAGGCGACAGCTGTGGCCGCCAGTCTGCAGCCTGGTGCAGGTGGGCTAGAGCTACAAGATCCTCAGAACGCTAACAAAGGAAGACTGGTAGAGCCCAGCTGCTGACCAAACTTGTGCTAACAACGAGTAGCTCCTAGTCTTTAAAAATTTTCACTGAACCAGGTTCAAAAACTAATTTTTTTTTCTTCAATACGAGACTGAGCTGGGGACAGGCGTCTTTGAGCTTTCGTTCCCAGGCTGCCAGGGTCACCGATCTCTTTTCTTTGTAAGATCCCGTGTTTTTATTTTCTGAGAAAAATTTGCTGGGAAACACACAAAAGCTTGTCCCCTTCTTGGATCTTTGTTTCAGCTATTGTATCGTTTTCAGTTCTAGGCTGTTCAGTTGATGCCGTAGAAGTGTTTTGTTTATCTGCGGCAAGGCCCTAGCTCTTTCATTAGTTATTTTTTATTCCTTAAACATTTTTTTTTCACATTCTTGAGGATCGTTTGATAACCAACTTCAAAACCCTGGTCGGTAGCTGCAGTTCCAGAGCCCTCTCGGGGCTGGGCTCTGTCTTAGAGGGTGGACCCCGCGTTCCTGTGACGTTGTGTGGCGAGGCAGTGTATGTTCTACCTGAGATCTGTCGTTGTCACCTGTCAGGCAGGCGACCTGCTGGGCGGGACCCTCGTTTGCTGAGACTGGCCTCTGGTGCCCAGCGGTCCGTGCCGACTGTGTGCTCTGCTGCCCCCTGGCGGGCACATCGGGGGTCTGCGAGGGATTCCGGCCGCGTTTCCTCCAGGGTTGGGGTTCACCAGCCTCAGTCTCCCCTTCCTGGGAAGGCACCAGGACTTCCCTTGTGGTTGCCTGGACCTCTGGCGCAGGCCACAAAGGCCAGGAATTCGGGGTAATGTATTACCGAGCTTTGGCCGTCCTGGGCAGCCCTAACCGCGGCGGGATCTCAAGCAAAGGCGGGAGAAAACAGCACCGCCCGCGGGGCCCAGCTCCGTCCAGGCCCGGCCTCGCCCGCTCTGCCCACCCGCCCGGGGCGCGTGTGGGGACACAGTGTGCTAGGCGCTCACTGGGCGACGCCAAGAGCAGAATCCTTACTTCTCAGGCAAAAACAGAGAGAGCAGGACTTCCCCGATGTTTTCCTCCTGGGAACAAGGCCGCAGGATCGTGGGTCTCCCCTTACCCGAAGGCTGGCGGGCTGCTCCGGGCATCAGCGCCGCCTGGGCCGCACAGGGGTCCTGGGTTGGGTTTGGCTTGGTGAGCTACCCGAGGAGGACTCACACCTCCGGTGCCAGAGCTGCCAGGAGAGCCGCTTTAGAAAGGCAGGCAACTCAGTGAGTCCCGGCACTGTGCCCCTCTCTCCCCCGAGGCGGCCAGCACGCTTTCCTGTGGGGACAGTCCGACACTTCTTCCTTGTAGGACTAAGTGAAAAATACTGGATTGCAGGTGATAGATTTGATACCAGCGGTCTCCGCAGGAAGCCCAGAGTTGAGGCCTGGAAATAACACGTTTCTGTCCCTGGAGCAAGCTGTGGCTAAGCAGAGCTACTCTCAAAGGAAGGATTGCGGGCTTGCGGGCAGTGCATTCTGGAAACCCAGGTCCCTTCGCCTTTCAGTTGGTTCCCTTCGTTTTTGGTCTCAGCCTCCAGATTGCCTGCGCCATGATGAGCTGTGATGAATCAAGCTCAGCCACTTTCAGGCAAAGCAGAATCACCGGGAAAACAAGGGCCTCACGATAAAGCAAGCTTTCTATCAGGGAGCACTGAATAAATTAATTACAAAAGTATTAATCACAACACCGTGCGGGGCCAGGTTTCCTAAGTAAAATGAAAGTGGATTGTTCGCCAGGTTTCACGGCGCGAGTTGCCCCTTTCTCTAAAAGCAGTAACATAAGGAGCTCCCGAGCTGGCAGTTGCACCTGTCAGCTTTGCCCTCCCTTGTGGTGCTTTGGGGTCGCACAGTGAGATCAAGGACAGCTCCACCTGCAGCGTGTGCCTCACCATAATGTCATCTCTGTCCCCAAGTGCCCTGTCTTAGACAGCTCCCAACATCCTGTCGTCCGGCAGACCCACGTCAGCACATACGTGTGGCTTTCAGTAAGATCTTGCCCGTGCTGGGTTTTGTGTGCACACTTGACATGCATGCCCACCGCCCCCACCAGGATGGTGCCAGGACAGCGTGACGGGTCCTGTGAGCGCCTCCCACTTCTGCCTGTGTCCTGGCTGCAGGCGCTCACTGCCTGTTTTCTCAGCCTGGCTGGTGAGCCTGGCCCCAGAGCACCGGCTCTGCGGTAATTGCCAGCCCTCTGGCGCCACCTTGTGTCAGGAAGGAAGTGCTCAGCAGTCACAGTAAGTGCAAGGATGGCCACTCTCCCAGGGTCCCAGTAAGACCCAGAGTCGGCAGCCTCGGTCTTAACAGCAAGAGCGCCCACGCGTATGCATGACTGTGTTTTGTGCTGATTTGGACGCCAGCCCTGGTAACTCCTTTAACCCTCAGCTCAGCCCTGTGTGTGCGGGAGACACACGACTACTTCACAGAACAGTAGTGGGAAGCAACAGGGTTCAGGGACCCGGCCAGGTTCGCGCCGTGAGGCGCAGGACACGCAGCACGCGCCCGGTTCCCAACAGCTGTACACTGCTGCCTCTGTGCTGGCGCAGGGCTTGTCTCCTCTTCAGTAGAGCAGCCAGCCGTCTGCGTCTGCGTAGGCACCAAGGCAGGGAAGGCCTGCGGAGAGGCTTTGACAGGGAAAGATTGGGCCGATCCAGCATTCTCCTGAGGCTCTCGGCCATCCATCTCGACAGTGGTGCTGTGAACGAGGAGGGGACCTGACAGGGGGTCCTGTCCAAGTGGGCACAGTCATGGCGCCAGGCACCAACCCCGCACCTGCACGGCCCAGCGCTGTCAGGAGCCCTCCTGAGCACCCCACTGTGCGTGTGCGGCGCTGTGGCCAGGTCCCTCGTCATGCGCTCTGTCTCTCTTTTCTTGCAGGTGGGTCCCACGTCAGAGTGCAGCTGCAAGCCCTGCACCTCATGGTCATGGCGCTGCCAGATGCCAACAGGGACACAGCCCAGGTGCGTCATCTCAGACCCTGCTGTGAGTGCCTGCTGCCCGGGTGGGCTGTGTGCGGAGTGGAGGCCCTGCCGGCAGCTCCCAGGGCTGGCGGTGAGCTGCCAACCTGCTGCCTTGTGCTGAGCGGGCAGCATGGGCAGAAATCGGACCCTGGTGCTTCCCACATTCGGTTCATTCAGGGGCTAGCGAGGGGCCAGCCACATGCCTGGCGCTTGGAAGCAGGAGCAGAGGAAAAGGCTGAGCCGGGAGTGCATGTCAGCAGTCCCAGCACCCTGAGAGGCTGAGGCAGGACCATCACGAGATCAAGTCGCACCTTGAAAACTAACCAACGTAGTGAGATCTCGTCACAGAATTTTCAAAATAAAAAAAGACTTGGTGTGTGGCCCAGTCCCAAGGCCTGGGCTCAGTCCCTTATGTTGCCCCTCGTCCTAGAACAGGTGGAACAATGTCAGAGCAAGTGAGACTGTGTTGTGACGGGAATACAAGACGGCGCAGTCACAGAGCCTCAGCTGGTCCCTGCAGAGTCCTTGAAATTGCGGAAAGTGAAATTTGTAAAATGTTTGAGATTTTATATAAAGATAACAGAAGGCCGGCGAGATAGCTCAGCAGACTAAGCGCCTGCTCAGGCAAGCACAGGGACCGGGGTTTGATCCCTGATACCACATGCCACGCCAGCCACGCCCCTGGGTGCGCTGAGCCGGTGACTGAGTCCAGGCATAGTGGTGCAGGCCTATAATCTCAGCCCTGGGGAGGCTGAAAACAGGAGGATCACTACGAGTCTGAGCTGCATAGTGAGACCCTGTAACAACCAATTATATTTGAATGAATAAATAAGTAATAGAATTTAAGTACCTCTAGAGTTTGGGCACCACCCAATAGAATCTGGTCGTTTTATCACTAAGCAGAGCAGCTGCGGGGAGTGACTTGTCTCACACCCCATCATTCTTCCTCTCCAGTGTCTCCCCTTTGTTTCAAGTTTCCTTCCGTGTTGCATGTTGGCAAAGATTTTTCTTGCCATTGAAATGATTCTGTATAAAATAGAAAAATTGTTTAAGTACACAAGTATTTGGAATCTGTAAAAGAAATAAAGGTGAGTTGGAAAGAACAGTCTTAGTAGTTTCTCTCACTGCTAAGACAAAATACCGTGCATTCAGAGTTAAAGGAAGAAAGTTTGTTTCCCAGTTTGTAGAGGCCTCAGCCCATAGTCAGCTGGCTCCAGGGCAGGGTGGTGTGGCAGAGCAGCCTGGCAGAGGGGGAACAGGGCATGGCAGACAGAAGGCAGCAGCGACCAAGTAGCAAGCACCAAATGCTAGCAGCAGCCCTCCTCTGTCCCTCATATTCTGTAGGGCTCCTGCCCCTGGGGGTGGCACTCGTGCCTGGGGAGGCCTCCCCTGTAGGGCACCTGCCCCTGGGGGTGGCACTCAAGCCTGGGGAGGCCTGCCCATTGTCAACTCCCAGAACTGTGCCACCCCACTCGGTGGACTAATTTAGTAGTCACACACCTTTGGTCCTAGCACCACACCCGAGATCCAGCCACTCCTGAAAAGCCCCGCCTATGGCCACATGAGGCCTTGGGGGACACCTGGATTCAGCCACTACAATAGCCATAATTTTGAGACTGGTAAGCTTAATGTTGAGAGCAAGATGACTCATGGCGCCATCCCCAACAGACATCTCAGCATCGTGAGGATCTCTCTCCTCATGAGGAAAATCTTTATGCCACTTATGTGTGCCATTTGTGTCATGTCTTTACATATGCTTGGGGGTTAAAATGCTTGTTTCCCATATAATTTGGTAATTTTTCAAAAGCTAGAGATTTAGGAGCTTGGTTTTTTTGGCTTTATCTCAAAACAATGTTTCCTTAATTTAAAAATCCACCTGATCTCAGTGGGTCAAGGTGTCCCCTAATGTTGCATGTAACTGAGGTGCAACAGTTGTCCAAAAAAAATCCCTCAAAGTCACCAGGGGACTGGTGAAGATGCCACACACATGCACACGCCTGCATATGCACACTCACGCACGCCTGCGTGTGATGTCTGCTTTCACTCCAGGCCGTGCCTGGGACTGAGCCTGGAACAGGGGCCGTGCCACATCTGGAGAAGCAGCTCAGGAGCTGTTTTCTTGGCTCAGGTCCCCACTCGGCCCACAGTGGGTGGAGCTGCTGGCTCTCTCTACCTCCTGTTTCCCCATGTGAAAAGTGCTGTGGTGGTCCCAGCCGCCGAGGGCTGGGAGGAGGACAGTAAGCAAAGCGGTGAACCCCACTCAGACCAGTGCGTGCCACCTGAGAGGCTCTCAGATCTACCTGCCATTAGCATTGTGAACCATGCATTTTCCTACCAGGAATTCTATAGTGAAATTCAAACTTAAAAAGCCAAAAAAGCAGCGCCTTTTGGGATTCCTGGCCTGGAATCCCAAATTCATCTCCTGATGAATTTCAAGTTTCAGATAAATAGCCATACTCTGGAGGCTCCGTAAACTTCTAAGCTTTCTTTCTTTAATGCATTTGGTTCAGGGTCTGCAGGGACCACAGAGTCTCACTACATAGATCAGACTCGTAGTGATCCTCCTGTTTTCAGCCTCCCAAGCGCTGGGATTACAGGTACATTGCCTCCAGGCCCAGTCTCAGTCGCCATCTCAGTGTGCGCCCCGTGGGTGGGGCCAGCACAGACACCGGGAATTGAACCCCAGCCACTGGCGCTCTACCTAAGCAGGCACTTTAGTCCGCTGAGCTATCTGGCAGGGCCTATAGCTTTCTTAATTTTTTTTTTTTTAATGTTTAGAACAGCTGTGCATAAGCATTCGTCTGTGACCAGCTGAAAATCTTGAAATTGAAAAAGCAAAATAGAAAAATGGCACCCAAGACTACCTTTCACATTTATTTCACCTGCACTTTTAGTTTAGGCTGAGGAACAAGAGACTTGTGTTGATTCTGTGGGTTCTATTTTTCAGGGAAACGGTAAATTGTTTTCAACAGTAATGCTATAAGTTAAAGGTGTTTTTTAAGATTACTTTTCTTCCTTCGTAACAAAGCTTCATTTAGTGTTTATTTGAGCAGCACTGTTTTCTCTCTGTGGCTTATGTTTAATTTTAATATATGTCAAACTTGCTTAGGATAAAAGGAACTAAGAAATGAAAGCTATTATTTGCAACAACTCCAATATAATAAACTCCATAAAATCAGAGTTATTCTGTGATGCAGACAGTCGAAAATGCTTGCCTCTCCTCGCAATGCTTTTTAAGCAGTTAGAGGGAGTGCTCTGTGTCCGGCAGCTTCCGCAGCTGGGAGTGGGGACAGAGATGATCAAGGCGATCGCGTGCAGCGGCGTGACCCTGTGCTGTTTCCTGCCAGGCCCTCATGACGTTCTTCAACAAAGTGATTGCCAACGAATCCAAAAACCGCATGAGCGTGTGGAACATCTCCACGGTGATGGCGCCCAACCTCTTCTTCAGCAGGGGCAAGCACTCGGACTGTGAGGAGCTGCTCCTGGCCAGCACCGCGGCCCACATCCTCCGCCTCATGCTCAAGTACCAGAAGATCCTGTGGAAGGTGAGTGGCGGCGGGCGGCCGCCAGGGCCCTAGGTCCACCAGCTCCAGGAGGCAGCTCCCGAGCAGGAAGCAGGCCCGAGGCCCAGCTGGGCGTGGGTGGCTTGGGACCCTCCCGCAGAGGCCTCCACCTTGGCAGCTTCCACTGCCCGGTCACCATCCACGAATGGAAGCTGGTCCTCAGAGGCGTTTCACGGGAACTGACCATGAGCAGGCCTGCTGCTCTGCCATCACTGCCAGAGCACCGCGTTCTCCCAGCTCCCGTGGCGGTCACACCGTTGCGGGTGTGGTGAGCCACTCGAGATGACCCAGTGTGGCCAGGAGGGTGTGTGGGTGGTGTCCAAGGACTCCATCATTTTACTTCCTGGTGGACTTGGGCACCCTGGAAGCCAGTCCCACCTGGGTGCCGTGGTCAGGCTGGACGTTCCCTAGGAGCTCCGCTTAGCACGCTCTCCCCATTAAACAGAGATTCTCACAGTTTCTAACCCTGGTTCCACCGTGCTGAGTGGCCACGAGAACCTAGCCCCCTCGCAGGCACGGTGTCCCCGGAGGCACTGGTCCATTCAAGCTGTTCTTCCCCAGGTTCCATCTTTCCTCATTGCTCAAGTCCGCAGGATGAACGAGGCCACAATGCTGCTGAAGAAGCAGCTCCCGAGTGTGAAGAAACTGCTGAGGAGGAAGACCATGGAGAGGGAGGTGAGCGCGGGATGCGGCCGCCTGTCCTCCTGCCTCCAGGGGAGGTGCCGCAGCTGAGCTTGCGATTGAGAACCACGTAACTGTGCTCCGTCCTGTGCCTCTCAGCGCAGTGAAAAGTGTGTCTGCAACAGTGCTCTCCGTGTTGCCGCATCGTCTGTGTGCTGCTGGGTTAAAGCTCTTAGTGAAATCATCCTGAAAATTGCTTAGGATTCTGTTAAGGACTCAGTGGAAGGGCTGAGAGAGTTGCCTCAAAAGCCGAGAGCCAACAGTTTAGTTCTCATGAGCTGCACTTCAGGGCGGGCTAGTTCTGGGTGTACCAGATCCACAGGGAGAGAGGATTCCTACTCATTCTGTGATAGACGATAACGACCCTCACGTTATTCTGTGCAAATTCGCTACGCTCCCAGGAGCATTTGCTGTGACTCAGGCATGTCTACACAGGTGGACAGCAGAAGCAGGTACTTGAGCTGCCCAGCCCTGACTGTGTCCAGCCAGGAAGCTGAGGCAGACGCTCCCTGGAAATGCAGGTCGGCTTTAGGAGAACCACAACTGACTTGGGAGCAGATGCCGCTCAGGGTCACAGTGTGGTCAGGCTGGATGGGCTCAGACCAGCTCTGCAGATACTGTAGCCTGGAGGATGCAGATGTGTGTCCTGGCGTGGGGGCCCGTGGGTGACTGCTTGGAGGAAGTGGCATTGAGCTGCGTATCTTTAGAGGGAGGGAGAAAGGGAGAGACCTTCACGGGCAAGAGGACGGATAACGGCAGGCAGGAGGAGGAAGAGGAGGGCCGGTGCCAACACCACGGCGTGATCCACTGCTGGACCCTGCGTTCATTACAGCAAAGTGGCTTCCCACCAGGGGGAACCAACACTGCTGTTGCGGGGAGTTATTTTAGTTAGGAAGAGTTGTACGTAACATGAGATCGCCGTTGTCAGCCATTAGAACACCAGGTCTGCAGCTTGAGCGTGTGTGCAGCCGGGGTGGGGCGCTGCAGACCACTCTGCGGAAGGGTCCCACAGTGAATCCTCTGTCCGGCTTCCTGGGGGATGCTCCCCCACCCGCCTTGTGGGTCCGGTGCGTCTGGGCTGTGTTTTCTCACCTTTTTGGACAAATAGCTTCATGGTGAAAAGTGGATTTCCAAGATATTACAGTGTGGCTACACGGAAGATCGCACTCCGCCTCCCCCAGGTGTCTGGCCCTGGCTCACTGTCCCTCTCTGCTTGGGGGCCTCAGGGCTGCACTGCTCCGTGTGACTGCTGCTCTGTGCTCTGTGCCCTTAGTGCTCGCCTCGTGCTCACACTGCAGTGCTGCTCAGCGCCTGGAGCCAAGCCCTTGCCCGTGCTCGGTTAGCACTCTGGGTGTGACTGGGCCTGCCTGGCTAGGACTCTGCGCTTCCTGTTTGCAGGAGGCTGGAAGTCAGGCACAAGTGAGAGCTCTCGCTCTTCCAGGTCTGTTCTGTGCTGAACTCTGGCCATACAGTGGCCCTCTGGATTCTGAGAAACCCATCACAAGCTTTTCAGAGCCTTTCCCACTCAGCGCCCCTCAGCCTCCAACCTGGCCTCCCAACTCCCCCAGCTGGTCCACCCCAGCTTGTTCACTCCAGCCGGTCCACCCCAGCCAGTCTACCCCAGCTGGTCCACCACAGCCAGCCTACCCCAGCCGGTCCACCCCAGCCAGTCCACCCCAGCCAGTCCAAGCCAGCCGGTTCAAGCCAGCTGGTCCACCCCAGCCAGTCCACCCCAGCCGGTCCACCCCAGCCAGTCCAAGCCAGCTAGTCCACCCCAGCTGGTCCACCCCAGCCAGTCCACACCAGCCGGCCCACCCCAGCCATTCCACCCCAGCCGGTCTACCTCAGCAGGCAGCAGGGCCACAGCTCTTGCCTGTGAGCGCTTCTACCTCACATGCGTAGCGCTGGCCAAGCCCAAGTGAGCAGCTCACGCAGGGAGCACACAGGAGCCTCGTGAGTGAGTCCTTTCGGCTTCCTTCAGCTCTGTGCAAGGCCGCATCTGAGAGCAGGGGTGCTGGGTGTGCAAGGCTCTCAGGGAGGTTCTCAGGGCTCTGCCCTCCTGGCCACCTGTCCTGAAGGTGGTGCTAACAGTTCTTGCCATTGCTTCTGTGGAGGGATCGACTTCCACGTCCCACCCCACCATGCCCTTTCTGGAAAGATTTGTGTGTGTTTTTATTTTTTAATCTTGAAGTGAAGAAAATCAGTACAAGATAATTGTTACTACACTGTATTGTGCATTGTCAGCTTTACCTTAGTTACTAAGAGTACAAGACACAGGCATTCAGTTGTCCAGGCAGTACTGGTGCAAACCTTTCGTTTCAATGAACTAAAAGAGATCAGTAATATAATTATTTTAACCACTTGTATGTGTATGTGTATGTATTATCTACACACACATACAATTTTGCCTTTCCCTTTTCTCCCTTCCCCCAACCCATTTCGCTTTCCTTTTGAGTACTTTCTTCCCAATTCACAATATCTATTGTATGTTTTAGACCTTATTTATTCTTCCATTTTCTCACACTATGAAGACCATGCAATGTTTACACATGTGAGTCTGATTTATTTCACTTATGAGTATAGCTTCAAGTTGCCCACACTGCTCTAGGAAAAGTCTGTATCCTTCTATGTCTGAGGAGTACTCCACTGTGTAAAGACACCACATCTTTTTTATCCATTCTTCAGTTGATTGGCATTCAGTGTTTTCCAAGATTTAGCTGTTACAAATTATGCTGCCCATAAGCATGGGCGCACAAAGCTCACTGTATGTGATGTTATTAATTCTGGGAAGATGCCCAGAAGGGTGTCTTAGTTACTCTTCTCTCGTTGCTGGGACAAATACCCGACACTCAAAATGAAGGAAGGAAAGGTTTATTTAGCTCACAGTTACTGGAGGTTTCAGTCCATACTCAGCTGGGTCCAAGGCAGAGCAGCACAGGGCAGAGGGCAACCTTTCATGGCGGCGGCAAAGAGCAAGAGTGCAAGGGAGAGATAGCAGCAGCTCAAGCCGCTGGCTTCTCTTCCCACCTTACATTGTAATGCAAATTGCCTGCCCCAGGGTAGGGGAAGTACTCACACCTATGGGTAATCCCAGCAGTACTAAAACCCATAATCCCAGCCTTGGATCACACATAATCCCAGGGGATCATGAGTTAACACAAACTCTAGAAGTCCTCACCCCATGACTGCATGAGGCTTTGGGGGGACAACTAGACACAAACCATAACAAAGGGGAAGAGCTGGGTCCAATGGGGCCTCCGATCCTAGTGTTCTGAGGAAGCTCCGCACTGACTTCCACTGTGGCTGTGCCCGTCTGCACTCCCACCAGCAGTGGAGAAGGCTCCTTTCCCCCACAGCCCTCCAGCATTTGTTACTGATTGATTTCTTGATCATGGTCATCCCTTCCGGGGTGAGATGGAACCTCCTAATTTGCATCCCTTGAATGACCAGTGATGTTGAACATTTCTTTATGTAGTTATTTGTATTTGTACTTCTTCATCTGAGAAGTGTCCAACTCAGAGGCCCATTTCTGGATCGGGTCTCTACATTTGGGAAGTCTGATGTTTTCGAGTTCTTCGTATGTTCTCGACAGTAATCCCTCATCTGAGGAACAGCTGGCAAACATTTTCTCCACCTGTGGGCTGTCTTTTCACTCTCCCTATGAGATGAGACCCCAGTTGTTGACGCCTTGTGATAGCTCCTGTGCAATCAGGGTCTTGTCCTTTCTCTCTGCCTGCACCAGTGTCTTCAAGAGTGTCGCCTAGTCTGTCTTCCAGATTTAATAGTTATATTTTAATACTTAGCTCTTTGAGCCATTGATAATTTAGTTTAGTGTGCAGTGAATGGTCTGGGTCCAGCTTTACTCTTCAGCATGTGCAAAGCCAGATTTTTTTCAGCACCATTTATTAAAGACGTTATCTTTCTTCCTGTGAATGTGTTTGGCATCTTTGTCAAGGATAAGGTGGTTGAGTGTGTCTGGATTTGTTTCTGCATCTTCTAATCTGTAACATTTATTTTCTGGTCTTTTTTCCAGTACCATGCTGTTTTTCTCATAGTAGCTTTATAATATACTTTCAGGTCAGAGATTGTGATGCCCCCTGCCTTGTCCATGCTGCCCCCTGAATACCTTTGCTATTCTAGATCCCTTCTGGTTCCAGATGAATTTTAGGGTTCTCTCTAATTCTGTGGGAACTGCTATTGGAAGTTTGATCAGGCTTGCATTAAACTGCGACCAGCCAGATGGCTCAGTGGATTAAAGCCCCTGCTTAGGCAGAGCATAGTAGCCAGGGTTCGATCTCCCCAGCGTGCCGTGCTGGCCCCTCCCCCAGGGTGTGCTGAGATCATGATTGAGACTGGGCGTGGCGGCACGCACCTGTAATCCCAGTGCTTAGGAGCCTGAAAGCAGGAGGATCACTATGAGTCAATCTGCGTAGTGAGACCCTGTAGACCCTGTAGACCCTGCAGATCCTGTAGACCCTGTAGACCCTGCAGATCCTGTAGACCCTGTAGACCCTGTACCAAAGGCATAAAAAAGAATTGCATTAAATCTGTATAGTAGCTCGGTAAGTGTGGCCATTTTCACTATACTTGCTCTTCCTACCCAAGAGAAAGAGATATCTTTCAATTTTCTGATATTCACTTTATTTTTTTTTATTTTTTTTATTTATTTGAGAGAGAGAGAGAGAGAGAGAGAGAGAGAGAGAGAGAGAGAGACAGTAGTGTGTGTGTGGCCAGCTCAGCCCACCAGGGGGCGGGGCTGGCTGGCATGTGGTGCTGGGGGATTGAACCGCGGTCCCTGATGCTTTGCCAAGCTTGTTCTAAGTAGGTGCCTTAGACCACTGAGCCATCTCTCCAGCCCCTGATATTCACTTTAATACCATTTTCCAGAGTGCTGTAGTTGTCAATATAGAGGTCTTTTACATATTTTGGTATTTTTATTCCTAGATATTTCTTTTTATTTTTTATTTTTGGATGTTATTATGAAAGGTGTCACC